AGAAATTTTTAAGTGAAATACCTTCTTTGAGAAAACATTTATTATTTTTAAAAACTTATTTTTTTTCACAACTAACAAATGTTCTTGACAGCTCGTTGACGGGCGTTAATAGAAATAATAGAATTGATCTTTATTACATATAGAGTTTATTAACAGAAACTACTCGTTTGAATTTAAATTTAAACACCTAAACAATTTTCAAGATTTTTCTGCTTAAAATTACAGCAAAATAAGTAAATTTATATGTATTTGAAAATAAAGAATTTTTATCACTGCAAGATTATTAAATTGTAAAAATAACTAATAATTTGTAAATAAGCCTTTTCTGTATATTTAAAAATTTTAAAAATCTAAATTTTAGTAATTTCATTTATAAAGGAAAATGATAAAAAAAAGGGATGATCATAGCTGTTTTATCTCCCTGTATACATATTTTTTTATTGGCATATATTATTAATTAAACATTTTATTTTACATAGTTGATTTATTTTTTTAATTGTCAGTACATTTTATCGTGAGTTTTCTTTTATATACATTTACGTTTTAGTTTGATTTCAATTTAAAATTTAACTTACCTATCGCATTTTTCTTTACAATATTACATTAATCTTTAGTTATACATTTTATTTTTTTTTTTGTTTTTTATGAGTTTAAATAAGTCATCGAGTTATATATTCACAGTTATCTATACTGAGGTATTAAATACATTGTTTTCTCGCGAATTCGAAAAGACAAATTTTTTTTGTATTAAAATTAGCTTGTCTCTATATTTTTTCAGTCATTAGACGTATAAAACGGTTAAAGTAGAATTGATTTTCGTACTCACAAACTCGTCCGTGGGAGGATAAATTACCCATATAAATAGCATCGTGGGATTCAAATAATGTTTTGATCTCAAAGCCTGAAGGTGCAGGTTATTAACACTCGAGTAAATACCATAAACATTAATAAATTTATAGTACACATAGGTAGATAGGTACCATATTTTAATAATATCTAAAACTAAACAGTCATATTATTCAAGTTGAGAACCTCCATATGCAGTTTTCGTAAACAAGTGCTTATCTATTGAATTAATATGATAATGTTATTATTGTATCTTAATACGTTTCTCGCAAAATTATTACCATACCTTCAAAAATCGACTTTGTGAAGTGGATAATAAGTAATAACGTCTTCGCAGTACACCTACACGTTCACATATATATATATAATATTGCCATTTAGATACCACTCGTTGTCGTATCTATGTAATTCTGTATCGAGCAGAGCGTTCAAAATAATGTTTAATGACGATTCCGTTGGATCGTGAATAAAAGTCACGATAAAATAAGTGCCGAGTTTTCCACTAGCCAAGACGAATTATATAATATTATAACGATATCGCTATTATCAAAGGCGTTCGCGTATACATCCGAGGTCATATTATACATTCGCGACGTCAGGTACCTATAAAATAGTTTGACACGGGTTCGTCTTTTGTTCGTCATTGTGATAGTGTGTGTGATTAATGTGCGGGGCAACTGATGGCGACGTTTCCACATTATATTATAGGTACAATAATACAGTACTAGTCATATATTATACCTGTGTAGTGTGTATGTATGGAATACGCCATGTCCTTAGCGCGCGCGCCACAGATGTCTATGAGCCGAAGCTTTTTATTGTTCCGACCGCGGTCACGCGTTCACCTATAGACTGCAACCACCGCACCACAGTAACATTATTTTTCCTACGCCTTTGCATATGAATCTCTTTCAGCAGCACCGCAACGATTCGTGTAGACCGTACACAAATAAACAATCGACACGATCTCTGCAGGTTTACAGCCACCCTCTCTCACCACAAACTTCTATTCCTACACGTTCTATTTTAATTCTTCTCTTTTTTCTAACTACGACCGGGAAGACAGGTTTTCACAATAGTATAATATCTATTGACATTAAATTCATAAAATATAATTTATATAATACATTATATTACGTATACGTAATGAACATTTAATAATAATTGTTGTGTACATATACGACTGATGCACCGGTTGCTTGTGCGTATTTCTTGTGTCAAAATCCAATTTCACACATTTTTTGGTTAGCTTTTTCCGTCTTCTTACTCTCTCTTTCTATCTCTCCATCTCTTAAATGTCATTGCATTGTGTTGTCTATATGTATGCATTATGTGTACACGTCTTTCTCGTGTATTTTATTCTACTCAACACCGCGCAAGTCCCGTTAAAACGGCCGTATATATACTTTTTTTTCTTTATTATTTGACGTCCGAAACAAATTTTTCCGTCGCATGTAGTTACATCATTATTATATTGTCTCTCGTCTCGATATAAATACACAGGTAAACAGATGTCATATTATACATATTATATATTATACTCGTACACTTCACTAACATAGTATGTAATGTAAGCCGCTGTCCGTCCGTTATTGCGTGTGTTACAACATGTCAGCTATTATTGTATAATATATTATTATTGGTATCTAGTATAGGTATAGACAATATATTATGTAAATATACCTATGCTACAACTTTAGTATAAACTAATCGAATGCACGTGGCTTTTGTCAATAATTACTATTATTGAACAAGAATGAAAATCCGAGAAAAATCATGGTGAGATGATTGTGGCACGGTGAGAAACTACCTCTGTGGGTCCACGTGTAATGCATATGCTCGTCTTATTATAATAGTTATAACGTCCGTGATATTAAAGTAGTATGCCTCCGAGGCTTAAAAATATTGTATATAGATATTATTATATGTGAACCTGTACGAGAGATAGATAGACAGAGAGATAGAAAAAAAGAAAGGGAGATATAAATACATCTCAAAAATAATAAATGGTAATTCGGCGGCATATTTAGACGGACAGACGCGGCATACATACGCGGCCTGTGGAAAGAAAACGTTTAATATTTAATAGGAGGAAATTTACTGTGTATACATACCTATTATAATATAAAAATATAAAATAAACGTATACGTATGCCTATGTTCGTGAGTGAGTGTATAATAGACGTGCCGCTGCAGCAGCAGCAGCATCAGACGATAAATACGCACGAGAGAAATAAATTCTCTGCGATATTTCCGAAAAAAAAGTGTTTTCATAATAATAATAATAGTCGTGTTTCATATTGTGTAAAATATACAAGCATATATAGAATTTTGTACTTACGCGTTAAATATAATAATACGCGAATAATAAATCATAAATCAAATCTCAACGGGTCGTCTACAGTGCAGAAGGCTAGAAAACTATTTTCGAAATCACTTATATTACTATATAATATTACATATTTTATGGATGCCTGAAACGACAAATATGTGCGTAGCAAACGGCAAATGACGTCTATCTAATGTTACTATAAAGTATTTTAATAAATAACTATCACATTATTATGCACTATTTTATATTTTATAGTATTTTTAATATATTATACATAACACTAGGTTGCTGAATTTCCTGTCACTATACAGTATTTAAAATATAGGTGGTCGTCTCAGAGTGTATATTAAAGTGTAATATATTATGTATCATTTTATAACTATATAGTGCGTATAGTGCGTATAGTGTGTACCTGCAGATGTGTTGAACATTTTTTTTGTAATGGTTTATCAGGCCATGTAATATATTGTAATAAAATTAGTCATTTATATCGTCTACAAAATATAGTGGGTTATTATATCATAACATGAATGTTCGGAATTTCATAATAATTATTATCAATGCGGTTTATTTGAATTTCACATTTAACAAAATAACAACCGCAATGTATAATATTATATTTGTAAAAACTACACAGGCATAAATATTTATTATTGCAGTTATGTTTTTGTTGTTGTTATTTTTTCATATTTACTATTTCGTCGTGTAGAAAACAATAAAAAATATGTGATTTTTTTCATTGAATTTTTAAGCATATGGCTTTGCTTAAAAATTTTTATAATATTTTAGTACTATATAATGTATAAAAATTAACAATTTTTTATTTTATTAAAGTAATTATAATTTTTAATTCACTTAAAATAAAACAAAAATTATTTTTATTTATCAGGAAGTAAAGTTTAAAAATATTATTTTAAGATTATTATAACTGATATAATGAGTAATGAGTTATTGTTTAACGCCGGTTTTTCAATTTTAATTAAGAGATATTCATTACTTTTTTAACAATATTAAAGTTACCATCAAATTAAATAATAAAAAGAAATACGTAATTAACGACAATAGGCTATATTTTCGTAAAATTATGTTTCCCTATTTAGCAATGTTGTCATTACGTATTTTAATTAATTGTATAGTTAATACAAAAATGTTATATTTATGCATCAGTTGAATTTTATTAGTATTGTAAAAACTAGGCGTGTGCAAGTAGTTTATATATATATTGCACATGGGCCTTGGCCCTTGGATACAGCATGGCGTATCAAATTGGACTGAAGTCTTGAAAAGGCCTCGAATTGACATAGTAATTGACATCAATTATAACACGGACAAAATTATTTATAAAATACACAAGTTTTTTAAGAACCATATTTATAGCAAAATAGACGCTAATATTTTAAAATAACAAATGTTTGTATGTACGTATAGGTAGCTATATTACATAGGTAGTTTTGAAAAAAATGTCAATCTTTGTATAGAGTACTTTTTTATAAATCAATTAGACTATTGAATAAAATATTTAAAGCTTATAATATTCTATAACGAATTTAAAACAAAAAATGTATATTAAATTTGAATAACTGTGTAAGTAACAGACTGGGGTGTCACCATTGGGTAACTACTCACATTTGGACGTATGTAATATCGAAATGCAATAATTAAAAGTTAAAATATTATATATCATATTGACCAACCTATCGGTTTTTATATTAATACCATATATCATAACATCTAAGCTCTAGATTTTTAAGGTTTCATACTTTATATTATATTAACTGCTACCGATAGTTCTAACGGAGAAATTCTATGCTTTTTAGATGCTGATGGCTTCCGAACATTTCATACCTTCAAAGTTTGTGTTTTCTGCTGATTATGCACCTGTGGTAAAAAATTTACCAATGCTGGCGGCGCTGGCAGAAGCGTGTCTGTGGCCAGTGGTGTTGCTTCTGTTCGACGACCAGTTCGTGCCCCGGCTGTCAAACTTGTACCGTAGACGAAGTGTTTCGGATCGGGCTAAACCCCCTCAAGGTAAATAAATACATTTACTTTTTTATCCTGTCAGCGTTGTCTTCATGTACGCATTACTTATCAAATACCATATATTATTATACTTAACTATGTATAATGGGTATGCAATATGTGAACCAATAGGTATTTAGTATATAAATAATATGCATAGCACTCATTCGGTTTTATATACAGGTGTGAAGTGAGTGATGTCAGATTCTACTTTATTTCCCGGTTAACTTTTCAGTTTTTATAGAATTAATTAATATAAAAATATTTGTAGTAATACCATTTTAAAAACCAACACCTCTATAAAATGATGGACTTAACTTGGATATACTACACCTGAGCGTATAAAATAATATTAAATGTAAGCACACACGTGAATGCTGCAAATGCAAATCGAAAAAATCATTTACTTGAATATTTATTTGATTTTAACTCACTTCTAAAATGGAAACACGTTGATATTTCAATATTATGGAATTACTGTAATATATTTTATATATTTCTCATTTTTATGACATTTTATTTTTTAACATTAATGTGTTAGAATTGAAAACATATTAATAATAATGATACGCATATTTTAAATTATTATCTATACACTTAAATCTATTACGTGTTGTCTGCTTTAAATGTAGAGTTAAATTTAATTTTTTTCTACGTTTTTACAATTTTCATGGCACATATATATTTGTTTAGTATAAATAATCGTACAATTAATGTAAAATCGTTTATAGTGTATTTTTTTTATTCCATATTTTCTTGGAAGTTAAATATTTATTTAAAAACATAAAAATAGTAATTTCTATAAATATCGAATTCAAATTTAACAAAAACGATGTATTTAATTGAAATTATTTTCTTCTTTTTTTAATAACAATGATGTGAATAAATTATACCGAAAAAAATAAATAGTAAACAAAAACAACATATTTTATAGCTGCTGTTTCAACTATTAAAACCGAAAGATATACTACACATATTTTCTTATTAAATTAAATTATTTTTTTCAATATAATATGTTACGTTAATTAGTTATCGTTTAAGAATTAAATCTTTTTTCGTTTTCGATTTAATCAATATTTTATTTTTTAGTGAAAAAAATCATGACTGCTATTCGGTTTTGTATTTTTTTTTAGAAAAATACTGCTATCATAACTTTGAAGAATAAAGGTCGTTTGAACGAACACATTTAAGTTATAACATTGAGAGTATATAATACTATACATATATACAATTATAAATGGTATATGATATATTTGCTGAAATTGTTCCAAGCGTAACTTACTGTCGTATCCCGAAAAATCGGAAATGAAAATGATATATATATTTTACTCCAGCAGTGCAGTAAATACGTTGCTTTTGAAATTCTAGAGAAAAATAAATATTACTCCATTCTTTACCGTATATAATATATTCGACGAATCGACCGAATACGGGTGATGTAGATTTTTATATACATGTACAGGGTGTCAGGGTGAAAGTAATGTAAACACCATTAGACATTAATCATTATATACGCTGGTGTGCTAGTGATACATTAAAAACATTTAAGCCTTTAATATTATATAACTATATATACAGAGAACCGATTCCTAAAATAAATCGAAAACGATGTGTTGTACAGACTGATTAATCAACCACATGACAAGTCAATGTAGAATATTTATACGTCATTCAAATATGAGTACGCATTTAAGCATAATAATATATAAAATCATATAAAAGACAGATATTCTATTTTAACGAAATTCTTTACTCAAAAAATACAGTTAGGTATATTATATTTTTTTGAAATCTGTTTTACCAATATTATTAGTATTATATTAAATCAATCTCACACCGTAAAAATAATAAAAATATAATAATAATATATTAATATATATATATATATATATATATATATATATATTTATTTATATATTATTTATTTTAATAATTCTCGTTTAACATGCGTGGTGTGCATTTGTAGGCTTACACGGCAAGTTTCGCCCGTACAACGGTTCATTGCAAGATGCCCGAAGGCCTCCGCCGCCTTCCAGTGGTAGCGAGGCAGTCAGATTTCCCATCACCAACGGATCTTTGTTCGCCAGCCTGGACGGCAGAGTTCCGGTTCTACACAACTACAGACGAGGTTCGTACATACTCTCTTCCTTTCACACAAACATTTATTATTAATATCTCTCTCAACAGATGGTTTATGAAAATATAAATTAATTTAAAAGTATTTAAACATGAACTAACTATATACTCAATAAAACGATAAAATATGCAATTAAATCGGAAAAATTTTAATTATATTCCAAGTTAAATGAAGAAAAATATTTTTCTGGAGTTTCTGTTAATGTAATATTTTTCTTATTATTACTTCAGCATCAACTTTGTAGTTATATATTAGCTTATAATTGTGTGTAGGTACTTAGAGTATTTAAGTAAATGGAGTGATAATTATTAATTACATTCGATTTACATTACATTAAGTTGTAAAATTAATTTTATTTTAGGAAAATAAATATGTTTTTAGTGTCTGAATATAGTCCAATTGATTCGTACAAATGATACAAAATTAAATTAAATTTTATTTTATAAAATAATTTTTTCATCGAAAATATCCTTTTTTAAATATATATATATTTTGTAAAATATATTTCTGATTCAACTTGTACACTATAAAGAACAAACCATTGAAACGCACAAATCCAAATTTTAATATCTTACTATTGCAACATTATTACTATAAATATATTTTCATTTGTTCAAATGTACGTGATAATTTAAGATCCATGTAGATAAAAACGCAGTAAATCGTAAACATTCCGCAATCTCTGTATTTTTTAATAGAAAATAATTAAACGCCCAGCGCATTAATATAGTTCACCCAGTGGTGCAGCTAATTTTTCGCCCATTCGGTGATTTATTTGAACCACACCGCATTCATATAATATACTACAGGTGCTAATGTACTATAATAATTTTGTAGGTGCCATAATGTAATACTCGTGTTATTAACTTTACGGGTTCTAGATCTGTCTAGGTCGAGTGGTTGTTCCGACACAATATACACAATAACTATACATGGCGACGGTTTTTAATTTATGCACGCTGCACTGCAGTTTTTTCGACAGTGTACACCGCAATAAATAATAATACTTATGTCGATACGAGTCGCGCGATTTGGCTCAACTCCGTAACGATCGTCCATTTTCGTTCACGCCGTGCTATATATCGATATACGTTCCTCACCACTATACGGGATTGGCATACGTATTATCTGTCCGACATGTACAATATATTATTATGATATTGTTATGTTTTTGTATTTTGTTTTGTGCCCATGACGTTTAGTGCCGCCAGACAGACCAGTCCACTTGCGAATACCCGATCGTAAAATCTCGTATCCATATTTCCCGCATGTAACAACAAAATAATAATAATAATAATAATGTACATAATACACGAGTACACGATGATACTAATAATATTGTATGCGTGTCGGGTACGTCTCGAACTGCGCGCATCAGATGTGACTTTCACGAATAACGTATTCACACACGGATAAGCTGGCGTGTAAGTAGGTACGCGTTATATTTTATACATATCCCGGAATTCGTCTGGTAATAATATACGCGTCATGTTATTATTATTACTATATTACCTACGACGACCGCCCAATGCCGTCCATACATAATATTTGTACTTATATATAACACCGAAAAACACGATACATACATGTCCCGTCGTGTGTGCATACGTATAATAAAATTTCTACAAGGAAAAAAAAGTAAATAAAAAAAATCTGACAAATTGTATAAATTGTACGTTGTCGCAACAATGCGACAGCGACACAATAACGTCTACAAAATGTGATAAAATATTCAATTTGAATATTGTGCGTTTTTTTTTTCATTCATTTCGGCGATGGTGACTGAATTTCTCGAAAAAACGAATAAATTATTTCCACCACTTCTTTATTGTCCCACACGCCTTCTTGTTAATGCATCTCGCCAACTTGCGATGGCTTGTAATAATATAATAAAAGTAGCATTATATTATTGCAACACAATAATAATATCATGTGTTAGGCACCTGTATAAATAGCAAACCTCTAGATTTCCTTTTCCGCGAGAGAAGATTCAGGACCGGTTTCTCCCAACGCTGCAACAACGCGACATCGCACGCTGTACGACAGACGCCGCCGCGGTCTCTTTGGTCCCTGTTAGATGTGGCTAAGTCTCGAGTTTAGTACGTGATCATTATTATATTTCGCTTGTAACGATGTACAAACCACAGTTTCAAATCTGACTTCAAACAGACATGAACTATCAACTAGACATACATGCTGAGTACGTGTGTCGAAACGAAGATTAAATCCGTGATATTATCAACTTATTCGTACTTTAAACAGTAATAATAAAAATAATTAACGAGTCATAATATAACTATAGGTTTTCATGAACTCAATAAAAAATCACATACCAAGTAAATTTTTGCAAAAGTTGTGGTCTACTTCTTTGGCTATTTAAACATTAAATGCTACCATGAATAAAAAACCAATTATCCAATGTCTTATAACGTTAGACATTTGAATTAATAAAAACATGTGGTTTCATCTAAAACGTTTAAAAAAAATAATTTAAAAAAAAAAACAATTTTTGAACTAATAGTATCAAACACTTTACTTTTATTTTGAATTAATAGTTAATTAATTTTTAATTGTTATTGTTTAATAATAAATTAATAATTCAGACTAATAAATTTTAACTTTAAAGATTCACTAAATTTCTTAAAGTAAATAGTTTGAAAATGATTTTAGTAGTCCAATTGACACTGTTCAATTGTTTATATTAATAAGTTCTATCTTTCCTGAAACAATGAAAAACTACAAACATTTAGTTTACTACTCAGTTTTAAAATACAAATTAAAACAGATTCACACATTTTAATACATCTTATATGCTAATATGTATAGATGATTTAATTAATTATACTCCTCTTAGATTCATATAATATTATTTAATATATTGTTTTATAAATGTGCATTATTTTTTTTTCTAATTCTTACAATGTTTACCAATATTTTTATTTCGTTTTAAATTCGATTAAATCATGTTTAAAAACAGCGTGAAAAAACAATCGGAAAAAAACTCGTTTTCATAAAAATACATATTTAAATCGATTAAAATCGCTGTAATATATTTTATTGTTATAAAAACATGATTTTTATATGTCCGTTACATCAATATTATCTAAAAAAATAAAAATCTCATTGAATTATTAGTGTAGTTATTTAAATATTAATGACCTCGTACAGTCCGAGCGGTTGTTTGCGTCTTCGGGCCGCGTGCTCGATACGACCGTGTATTATACGCGAATAATATGTGATATTCGTATAATAGGTAACTGTAAATATTTTCTTTCACGCGTTATCATTATAACCGTCATCGTCATCATAATCATCATAATAATCATCATCATTTGTCATCATCACCATCATCATCGTTTTCCTTGTCCAGGCAAATATTAACAACGCAGGCCACGATGATGTTATGCATTATGATATCATGAACGTCTCGCGTGTTATAAATAGACGGCACCAACCATATACCCGCTACATACCAACTTATCTTGCCGTATAATATGCAACAAAATAATATTGTAATACGATCGTGTCGTCAAAACAAAAAAAATGTGTCGAGCGATCGTGAAAAACCGAAAATCCTACACGCACAACACGGGTAGCTCGCTTATAAAAATACTGTAAAGATTATGGACGCACTTGTTATAAAAAAAATATGCAATATTATTGGGCGTGCATATAAATATTATATATTGTAATAAAATGTGTGCGCGCGTATGCAATAATACCGTTGCGCGTTATTCCGTTCAGGTCTTAGGCGCTGCGACGCGTTTCGAATTCCACGTGTTGTATATTTTTATGATAATATATTTTAAACCTGCCTGTATAAGGTTTTTTACATAAATATGTATAGCTGGTTAATAAAACATCGTGTTTCCGATTATTACGGTACGCGTGTTCGGGACTTTGATTTTTGTTTACAAACGTCTCTCCAATCGTCTCGTCGTTGAACCATCGTTACGCGATTGTAATTTTTCATTCGTCGGCGTACCTACAACGGTGATATTATTATAAAATAATAATAATAATGATATACATAGTAGTAATATAAATATCGACCTTAGTATTGTCAACAATCGTTATTATTATTTATCTATTTTTAAATTTTGTCTGGTCATTTTTCGCTCATTTTCTTGAAATTCAATTATTGCGAATAAAAAAAAAAAAAACTCCTACGAAACAAAACCCGTTGTTGTGTTGAAGACCCATAACGGCTATAACGACGCGTAAACACATAAAAGTATAGAATATTTTGCATTATGTTTTTTTTCTCATCAAGACAGCTTACATTTTTAAGTACCTAATATAAAAACGGCGACACGAGTTTGTAACATTGTTATTTGTTGTAGGTGTTTAATTTCTTGCTAACGCAGCACCGCGTGTAAGTAGTTATAAGTCATTTGTGTGTATAAGTAAATCAGTTATAAATGTTATAATATAATGTTCGGGTAAATCGGCGTGAAATTTGTTTTTAAGTGTAGTCGATTATAATATAATCTGGTTATGTATATCTTGTTTTCTAGAATAACTCAATGAGTATAATATTAGTCGAGAGCTGCACTATCTATGTAATACGTTACTATAATACACAATTAATGACGCGAATACTGTTAGATTATCATTTTAGTGGTCGCGAGAGATTCATCGGGTAAATTTCGATTATTTTCACTGACTCTTAGTCTTATCGACGATAGTTAAATATGATCCGTAAACAATTAACAAATGTACTCGCGATCGAAGAACGTTCAACTACGAACACTGTAAACGAATTTCAGTTTTTTTTGAAGATTAAAAAAAACCGTCTCGTTTTCGTCTATGCCTACATAAAATACATTAAACTATAAAATATATTATAGTATGTAATAAACTAATAACGGATCTATTTTTTAAATATAATATTATTATATATTTTTGATAGGTACCAATAAAATATATAGTGCACGCACAAAGAGCGCGTAATTATCACGTCCTTCGTGCCGAATGTATACTTATTCAATATATATATAATATATGTATGTATGTATGTATGTATGTATAGTTATAATATTATAGTAATATACAAACAATAAGCTTCTCATGATTGCACAATATAATATAAAATATATATGAAAAAAATATCCAAAGAACGAATTAATAGCAACGTGATTTGGGCACATCGAGGGCCGTTGGAAAATTTATTAAATTTTGCTCGTGTCCAATGCTATTTCAAGCCGGCGCCGAGCGTGAAACACGACGTCCAGTAAACATAATTATATATATATATATATATTAAAGTACTGTATTTTTTCATCATCTATATAACAGTATATTATTATTATTATCACAGCGGCGTTGACGTTTGACCGTTTACCGTAACCCAATAATAATAATAATAATAATATTTTTTATATATATTTATATATACACTGTATATAATATATAGATAAGTATTTGGATATTTGTTTTATTGCTGATTATTAGAGCTAACCTATTAGTTATTATTTATTACCTAATATGTACAAATTTTATAATTATATTATACAATACGGGTCACATGGCTAAAAATCATGTGCCAGTAATAAAAGCATCAGGTATAATATCTTATGACACACTTTGTAAAAAATGAAGTATTATATTATTGAACATGAGATACAATGTGTACAGTATAAATTGAGATAGTGCACATAACAATATATTGTGATGTTTATATGATGTTTAAAAAAAATTAAAAATATGTATAGTTTGAATTTATAATTGTATATTCTGATTTTCGAGTAAATGTTTATAATTGACCTTACAATGATGAGAACGTCATTTTAACTTTTTCCTCAGTAAATAGTTTTCTTACTAGGAATTCATGCAAGTCGATTGGAAATTCAAGAATTTAGTACTTGCACCTTATTCCTTAAAATAGGTCATATTAGAGAAATCGCACGTGAGAAAGGTCGAGAATTTTTGATAAGCATTAAAACTGATTTTAGGTTAAATTTTGACTGTTCTACTTGTAGACTACCCTGAGAACTATTTTTCAAATATAATAAGTAATAGATACATTGCTGGATTACGCCAATGTAAACAGAACGACCTGTAAACATTTCTATTTTAAATTATATTCTATGTATAAAGTATATAGCATGGCTTGAAAAGTTACAAAAACGTTATATTTGACAAAAAAACGATTGAAATTCGTAAACGTAATTATAAAGGAAAACGATAAACATAAATAATTAATTTTCAATTATTTAATAGTTATAAATATTTATAATACCGGTCACGCAAAATTTGAATAACGTTTTAGTTGTAAATAACATAAAATGATTTTTTTTCAAATTCAAACCTTGATATATATATTCTATATTTCTATAGTATATTAACTTTTTTTATTTACGTACATAAATTACGTGTATAATGTATTACATGATTTGGCTAAAAACCCTAAAAAAAAAATTATTATTACTTGTTCAGAACATACATAAGCCATATTTTTGTGATATACTTCGTAGTACTATAGATTAAATACTCAATCCATGGTAGTATAATGTATAATATGATATAGTTTATAATTGTATTAAACTTATACAATTTTTCGTGCATGGTCGAGTACCGGTTGGAGGTTCGATATTTGTTCCTCTTTTCTCGTCGTAATCGTATAGTCGATAATAACAATATCACGAAATTAAACTTTTTCAAATTATTGTTAAGTATGTACGACACACAATAACAATATTGTAAACATTGCGCAGTGATATTAATATTATTGCTAATTATTAGTGTTGAGTTTTCTTTTTTATAACACAGCAGGGATATTATTTTCCTACTGTAATATTCATATACATAAGTCTAACACAGCTATTTAATTTATTTAAATCATAATTGCTTAAGGTCAAACATAAAAAAAAGTAATACAGTTACATAAATAAATTTTAAGAAAATTTTATAAAAAAAACAAACAAAAAGAAATCAGTTTGATCACATTAGTGTTCAGAACAGTAGTCTACGCCATAAGGTTTGCGTATAAATGTTTGAAAAATAGGGCCATGGGGGTGAATATCGATAAAAAAATGTTCATGATTAGTAATTTTTGGATATTTTTAAATAGGTAATAGATTTATTTTTCTTGTATACCTACAACTTGAAAAAGACAATTTTTTATTTTATTCATAAAATCATATTTTTGATACCCATACTTGCAGTTGTACTTACGTATGTATAATATTAATATTATTGTCTGGTGTTTTTTCAGGCGTTAGAACGATGAGTGGCCTACTGACTTCTCCGCCACCACCACATTTTATACACACGGCAACCGATCCCACGGCGGTCGGTCACTGTTGCGAAGACGAACACAATCATCACCACCACCACCACCACCACCAACAGCAGCAGCAACAGCAACAGCAACAACTCCAACATCGGTCACTGCGGTTCGCCAACATGGTGACCGCGTCGGCGGCCATGTCGACGTCGGCGGTGGCCGACTGCAAAGCGGTGGCCGACGACTCGACGCCCGCCGACAGCCTGGACGACCAGTCGATCGTGACGGGCGTTTCCGCCACCGTCGTCGGGGGCGTTCAAGCGACGGACAGCCGTTTGCCACAAAACTTGCAACAGCTCCGCGAAAAGTTGTACGCTCAAGACGACGACGACGACGACGACGAGACGAGTTGTTGCGGAAGCGACGGTGGCCGGAACGCGGACGACGACGGCGGACGTCGGCTGGACAGGCACGAGGAGAAGGCAGCGGCCGCGGACACGACGGCCGACGACCAGGACGATTCCTCGGACGACGGGTGCGACAGGAGGGACGACTGCGACGATTGCGATGAAGAGGGCGGGTACGCCACGCTGTCCGCCAGGAGCGTGTGCTCGGCCACGACGGCGGCCAACGACGATTTCGAGTATTTCGCCGCGTCCGCCGACCGATCGGCCGGCTATTGCGGCAGCGAAGACGTCGCGCCGGCACCGGCGGCCGAGCGGTCGCCCGTCGGCGGCCGGGTGCCTTACCAGCGGGCGCCGACCAGACGCGCCAAGCACCACCAGCACAGCCGCAGCACCAGCGCTGCGCGCAACCCCAGCACAGCCGCCGCAGTATCACCAGCAGCATCACAGGCTGAAAATGCGCTCCGCGGCACCGGCCCTGCCGCCCACCCCGCCGACGCCTCGCAGGCCCAAGGCCCGTCTCACGTCCTGTCCGTCGACTCGCTGGTCGGCACAAGCGGCTGCGGACCGCGGCCGCCGCGAGTTATCCGCATACCGTCAAATGCTGCAGCAACATCATCATCATAAGCAGCAGCAGCAGCAGCAGCAACAGCAGCCTCCGCTTCACCACCCACACCACCATCACGGCGCGGGAGGCAGACATCGCGGCGGCTTCGGCGGCATAGCGGGTAGACGGCTGGGCGGCGGCGGTGGCCGCGGACACCACGGCGGCAGCGTGCCCGATCTGAAACGGGTGTTCGTCACGGATTTTTTGTAAGCCATGTTACCCGGTCCGCGTGTGTTTTGCTCGTCACAAACGTGTCCGGGACGCGTTCTCGGCGTCCCTCGGTTCCCGGTCCATTTCACCGGCATCCGTTTCCGTTGTATTTTTAACGGTTAAAAAATCGTTTTTTTTTTCTATTCCTTTTTTTTGATTTGACTTTTCATTTTTTATCGTGTTGACCTATCGATACAATATTATTATTAAAACGCGTGTTTTGTTATATCACATGGGTATACAAAACGCGACGACATTAGGTATTACATTATCTGCGTGTATATATTGTGTACATGCATACAATAATTCTGAGTCACGTATTCGTATATATTTAGATATTTCGATAATAATTTATTCAAACATAAATCTGTTTTTGTGTATAAAACTATTTAAAACATTTGGTTAGTAGGTACTGTTTTACTTTTTTTTTTTTATATTAAAATATTGAGAGGTACACGTGCGCCAAATCAATTCGCAGTAAGAAGGTACGATACGCATCTACACAGCCACGTACAACATTATTTTATTGTAATTTTCGTTAGGAAATCGACCAAAGACGGAAGAATTTATTATAATATGTACCTGTTATAATAGTAGAGTTCTATCACCGCATTATTGTACCGTGTCTAAGTCTAAAAGTTCGTTTTCGTCGTGTTTCTATTCTTATACGGCTATTATTATTCATATATTATAATAATATATGAATGATATATTATTGAATATTATTATATCATTATATTTTTAGACTAAGATATTTTGTTTATTTTTAACACCTGGTGCCAATTTTATTGTAAGATTAAAATTTATTTATGCGATTATTATTATTATTATTATTATTATTATTTTGTAAATTAAACATTGTTTTTGTTTTTGCTTTTTTGAATTTCATTAAGATTGTATTATATTGTATTAGTGTTTAGTGTTTCACGTTATTTGATATCAGATATTTAATGGTTTTAATTTTATTATTATATTTTAAAACATTAACCAGTTTTTGTTTGATAGCCAACAATAATAAAAATGTATGTCAAATAAAAACAATATTTAGTCTAGACTTTGTGATTTACGCCCAAACGATTTTCCATTCTATTATATACTTAATTATCCTAATGTTATTTGATTTAATAATAATAATTGTTACGTTTAATTTTACGCAAAATATATTTATGATAGTCGACGTTTAAACTTTTAAATAAAAAATATAAACATAAATATTGCCAAATTTTATAAAATTAAAAATAAAATATTATTATTTTCCAAACCATTGGATATAGGTCTGTTAAGCATTAATATACTAAATTCAATTTAAGTAATACATTTTTTACTTTTACAATACAAACAAATAATGATTTAATACAGAATATTGATTAACAAGCGATTAACCCAGAACCAAATAATTTTAACACAAAAATGGTAATAATATTTTAGGATAAACAGTTAATGATTGTTATACAAATATAATGTATATTATAATGTATCAACTTAAATTTTTTCATTCAAACTATATACTTGTAAAATATTAAAAATTAATAAAATATTTTTTGTATAAATGGGTATTATTAAATTGTTCTGTCAAGGGTTTTTGTGGTTGCCGTGCACTTTATTGTTGGCTAGTAGAGTATTTGACAGAAGTTAGAATTTGTAAGAACCAAAGAAAAAAATATACGAATTATATAATTTAAAACAAAGCTAGAAGAAAAAACTAAAAACTCGAAACTCAATGGCAATGTGAAAACTAAATATAAGTACCTACTAAAAGTTTACGATGTAAGTTTGGAAAGACGACGAAAGAGTAGTGTAAAGCTTAACGGTCGAAACATTGAAAACTCAAAGTTTTAAGATTTATTTCATTTATACTGCGCAATCGAGTAATGATATAGATAATGGTATTACTAAAACAACGAAAATATCCGAGTACAGACAACATTATCTATGTGTAAGTATACACCGCGATCAGTGTAAACTTGAAGATAGTTTTATTAGTAAACGCTTAACGATAAAAATGTGTGACTACATGTACTCGTATCAGACGGGATTAACATACAAATTATAAATGTATAATACTGTAATATATGTTGTAACTACTTAAGAACTTTGAGTTTCCCAGTAGATTTTAGAAAAATTTATTATGTAAACATAAAAAAAAAAATGTTCACTATTATTTAATTCTTTATTATAAAGCAAAATATATTTCGAAGCGCTTCGAAATATAATAATTGAATTTTGAGCGAGAATAGTTTATACATTTTTTAAAAATTAATTATACGTATTTGATGAGTGGAGATAAGTCGTATTATAGGGGTAGTTGAAAAACGGTGTCTCACTGCTCCATTTATATACATTTTTAATACTTTTGTATGATATTTATAAATACTTATATATTGTTTTATTCTTTTTATATAATTATTGTGTTAACTATTATAGATGTATATTAAGTATGAACAAAAAAAACTTGTAATTGAATCTTATTTCCGCAATAAAGAAAATATTAAATATTAATGATGCTACTCCTCCAAAATAAAATATAAATAAATACTCCATGTAATATTCTACCTTGGAATATTAAATTAAAAAAATATATTTAATTTAAACAAATAAAATACTTAAAAAATATTATTGATGAGCAATAGTAAAACATATTTATTTTCCAAACATATTGTTTTGATTTAAATGTTTTATGTAAGAGAAATATTTTCAAAAACGTTTGTGTGCTCTTAAACAAAGATTGTCTTAAGTTATATAAATTAACCCACATTCATCGGTGAATAAAGGTAGTCTATACATTAAGCCTTTCTAAAAATTCAATAATTGAAAACAAATACGATTTTCTGGAGAAAACAACTTAATTGGATATTTTATTATTTAGTTGTAGTATATGCAGAAAGACTTCATAATGAAATTTACATACTAGTAGGATCTTAATTTTATTAGGTACTACACTAGTCGAGTTCTTATTTTTTAAAGCTTATACGTCATTTTGACTCGATAATTTGTACACGTGTCAAATATAATTAATAACAATATGATTTTCGTGGAAAATGTCTATAACGATACAAACAGTTATAAATACAAGAGTTATTAAAATGAAATTTTCCAATGTTATACTTTTAAATTATTAATAATAATATCATCTAAAAAAAAAAATCAACAAATTTACACGCGTCAAATTTAATGCGTCTGTTTGACGCACGTTCGAATGACGTGACACAACAGACCTGAAATTTATAGGTTATTTCCGAAAAACATTTGAAATATAAGATATAACTGGTGTAATACATAAAATAATACAAGACCCGACTTGTATGCTAGATACCAGTAAATGTCCCTTGTGCCCAAACTAATAAAAATAAAATTATCTTGTCCTGTGGGTATATCTCGACGGTGTCCATTAAATATTAGATATATTGATATAAATCACCATTTAAACCATGTCTTTTTTATAATATTTAAATGTGTTTCTTTTTTATGTATATAAATATAATGTATATAAATTTAATAATTACAATTTGTAAAAAGTGAATACTTACTTGCATTACAAAATACTGGACGATTTGAGTGTCCATTAGGCATTGGCATTACTTCAGATACTTCTAGAATTTATTTTTCAATCATAGTAATGATAGGTTTCAGTATTTATTAAGAATGTGTCTGAACTATTTATGTTAAAACCAATTATATTATGGATTGTTTATGGATTGTTGAAGAGAATAGTAAAGTAAGATTAGATATAAGTAGATTAAGATAAATATTATGTATTATTGTAATTTTTTTTTTTTTGTAATATTGGAGAATATTTTGGAATTTCACGATATGTAAGTAAAGTGAGATGACTAATATTTTAATTGATATTAGTCATCGTTGAATGGATTATTTATTTTTAAAGAAATAGTTTGGTATTAAGTGAAATATTCGATTTGAAAAAGTGTTGCAGTTTTTATAAAGTTTTATGTTGAGCGATTTCGTTTTTGTTTTTAAATGATTGGCCCATATTTTTTTCAAAACAAATATCTAACTATTTTTTGTTTGCGTGGAAGAATAACGTCAATATTAAGTATAATCGGTGCACTAGTACCGGAATTGGAGGCTCAAATTAGATTTATGTTAGTTGAGATTCAATTAATATCTTCAACAAAAAAAGCAAAAATGATATTAGCCGAGTGGAAAATATCAGTGATGAATATGTTCTATAAAGTCAAAAATAAAATATTAGCCTGTGCGATATCAGATTGACATTATAAGACAGTTCATTTTAAAAACGCAGGTAGGTATACATAATATTATTTGGCATTTAATTTAAAAGTACTATAGTGTTATATTCGTTCCCAATACTCATATTACACCTCTATATGTACCTATAGTGAAATATTAAAAAAAAAAAGTAGAAAACTAAACTTTGATGAATATTGAAAATATGAAATCCTTATTTAGATATTTAATATATATCACATTGTTATTATTTGTTAATTTGTATAACATATAAATATGTTTTTTTTAAATGTGCCACTCCTGTTTATATTTGTTATGATATGGTAATATATCATTGTATAGCTTAAATATAATAAATAAATAACGGTCAAGCTGTCACACACAGTTAACGGTTTATTCCAATATAACTCTTTCATCGCTGATGAAAGGGACTACTCGTATTTTTAAGGTCACATAGAAATTGTCACGTGTTGGTGACAATGTGGCACAGGACCTGTGACTCTCTTGTGTGCGGCAATAAACTGGGGAAGGCCGAATAAGGGTATCTACCACCAAGGATAAGACTAATTTCATGGGAATGGAGAGGCCAATGATGAAGCCACCAATCACTCTGGTTGGATTGACCATGTCGTCTCTTTAGCCAATGCATGTCCATCAATAATTTGAGTAACACCTCACAACACCGGATTTTGCGAGTGACAACTATACTTAACTTTTCAAAGAGCTAAAAAAGTGTTGTTTTTTTATTTAGATTCACGTGTTCAGAGAGTTTTTTTTTGTATTTGTGCTACCTTACTTTTTTTAACAAGCATAACATATGCACTGTTCTGAATCAGGTAAGGCAAATGCTCATAATATATTATATGTTATTATTATATTACATGTGTTAAATTTACATTACGGTGTATTTTATCGAATTCTTGACTACACAACCTCAAGAGCTCTCCGAAGATCAGGAGGAAGGTAATAAACTAATAACATAATTTAATATTGGTGTATGATAAGTGATTACATTTTTCTAGCACTCATAAGTGCAGGGAAACATTTTTCAGATTTAGGTTCGCCTATATTAGATCTATTTATCCTTAAGCCATTGTTGTGACCTTCAGTAATTTTATAATTTATAGTATAATTTTCCTCAATTTTCCGTCCTTTTATTTTCACGTTATTACATATTAACATATTATTAAAATAAAATAAATCAACCTTAAACGAAGTTTCATACAATCAAATTTCTACATCTAGCCAATGAATCAACCATTATACATCTATACCTTCTCGCCGAAATTTAGAAGTATAATAATTATTGTGGAATGAACAAGGAATATTATAGTACCTATTATAAATTATGATCGAACTGCGCGTTTAAAATTAGCGGGAGTTTTTGTAGAACGTCGATTCGTTCGTGTTGTAGACCGGCACGATGCATTTTTATTTAACAGTAATTATAATAGTAATAATAATAATAATAATAATGACAAGACATTGCATCGTATATAGTTTCTATATTATATATACCTATCATTAACG